GCCCCTGTCTTCTAAGGTCATTCCCACAGGGCAATAGGGCGATGGCCCTGGATCCCTTCCAGAGTATAATTTAGTATTTGAAATGATCAAATGGATCAATACTGTTCGACCAAAGCACCAAATTGTTTCAGTTTTCCCACCCTCTTTCTCAATAGACTATTAATTTTAATACATAAAACAGAGAAGGAAATATATTGATCCCGAATGCAGCAAGAAAGAAAGATTCAGTATACGGAGGGAATATTCAATGACCAGTTTGCCTCCAGGGCTTCTAGCTTCTTCTTTTTAGGGGAACAAATTTTATTGGTTTTTTTAATTCTTAAGACAAAGTACTCAGGACACACCGTGGTGCTGGGGTAACCAAACATCCAAAAACAAAACATATATACATAGTTCAATCATTACATCAAATATTCCCTCTCTTTTTCCCTCAAACAGCATAGCATATTTAAAATAATCCAATTCTAGCTTAAATTTGTTCAACCTGGAACTGTTTTAAAGCTGTATAAATTTACAATACCGTAAACAAATTAACTTTAAATAAAAACATTATCAATTCAGGTATCCCTTCCAATTGTATTCTAGTTCCTTAATTTTATCATAAATCTTATTTATTTCTTCTTCCACTAATATCCCCTATTTAAAATAAAATATTGATCTATCCTACACATATCTAATCCATCAATTAATCAATCTCTTTATAGCTTCTTGAAAAGTCTCTGTTCATGCCCTAAAGGAGATTATCTGCACTCCCTTTTATAACTCTGCAGTGGTCAATCCACAGTTTCGTTTTTGAGGAAAACAGGAATGGGAGAGTTTTCACCCATAGGATAAATACTGGTATGTGTTCGTACATGCATCCGTGTAGCAACTCAGCCTGGTAATGAGAGTAGTTGTGCCATGATATCTTGAAATGAGAAGGGACACAACCCTCCAGTTTGCTTTGCCAAAAGTTGGCAGAGAACTCTCACCAGTTGGTTTACTTGGACATGGCTTGTACAGGACTCTGAACCCAGGCATCTTTTGTTTGGGTAGCTGTTCAAGTCAGCAGAGAAAGAAAGAAGAAGTCAGAAGTCCAAAGAGAAAAAGTAATTGCTGGTAAACAGGAGATGTGATGCCTCCAGCAGTCTTAGGGTACATATCAGTTTAATCCCCTGCCACAAATTTCTCCTAACAAGTCTTATCAGAAACACTGAATTTGTAACTCCCATTAATCCAGTGGTTCTCAACCTTTTTAATGCCGCGACCCCAACCGGTCGTAAGTCGAGGACTAAACCGGTCGTAAGTCGAGGACTAAACCGATCGTAAGTCAAGGACTACCCAACCGGTCGTAAGTCGAGGACTTTCCCTGCCCGGGAGCGCCGTGCATGCGTGGTTCCGCCCCCTGTGCCGGCCGAGGCGTAGCTGGCAAGCAGGAGAGATGGAGCAGGCCGACCACCAGCTGGCCCAGCCCAAGGGAGGTAAGGCACCCGCCGGAAAAGGGGAAAAAAATGGCGGACAAAAAAAATGGCGGACAAAAAAAATGGCGGACAGCCTTGCTTGGCGACCCCCATGAAATGGTCGATCGACCCCAAATGGGATCGCGGCCCACAGGTTGAGAACCACTGCATTAATCTAACCCAGGAATGATCATGCTGGTTGATGAGAGTTGGGCAGGGATCCAGTTCAAGTCTCCACTGAATGAGCTCATGGGGTCCCTTTTTGGCCAATTTTTCTTGCTCAGTCCAATTTCCCACACAAAACTGATGTGAGAATAAAATGAGAGGAAACACGTGCATAATGTCCTAACTCAAGTTAGGAAAGATGAGGAGGTAAATAGAGTTGTAAATTAAAAGAAATACTGGGTTAATGAAGGCTTCTCTATATCTTAACCTAATGATGGTTCTCAAGAAAATAATTTGGGAGTTGTATTGATGCAGAAAATTGGGTCCTGGTGATAGTCAGACCCTACATTGTAATTTTACCACTGACTTGTTTTAATGAGCCATATAAAAAGCTAGCTGGACATGGATGATAGGGCAAATACAGGTAATAAAGTAAAAAACAGCAACACAATTACAAACTCTTTGCAGTGATTCCAGGAAGACAAAATGGGGGTGGTCTAACTGTAGGACAGGGGTCTTCAAACTTGGCAACTTTGTGGACTTCAACTCCCAGAATTCCTCAGTCAGCCTTAGCTGGCTGAGGAATTCTGGGAGTTGAGGTCCACAAGTCTTAAAGTTGCCAAATTTGAAGACCCCTGCTGTAGGAGGAGACTTAAGTCTGATAGCTTCTGAACTCATTTTTGAATGTCTCAAAATAAACAAATATTTTAATGGAAGAGTCATAACTAGCAGGTGAGCCCAGTGTTATTGGACTGAGTCCTTTCTCAGCTGCATGTTTCTTTCATATAAAGGACAAGTTTTAGGGCTCTGTCGATTTCTGTCTTTAAAAATGACACATGGTGCCAAAAAAGATGAACCAAGGATTGATGTCGCCAGCCCAGTGTGGAATCAAGAGCCAGTTTACTCTTATTTGTACAGAAAAAAGGACACGCCAAGGTGTGAGTAGAACAATCTTCCCAGAGGCAATTAAAAAGTCACTTAAAATTTATATTTCCTAACAAAATGTCCTGAGTTGATCCCACTTTTTTGTGGGATCAACAAAAACAAATGAATGTTTTTCAACCTTGGCAACTTTGAGATGTGTGAGCTTCATGTCCACACATCTCAAAGTTGCTAAGATTAGAAACATTAGTTTAAAAGAATATATCCTTGTCCACAAAAATAGCCACGAGTTCTATGTGGAACATAGCAACTTTATTTTGTGATTGTTTTAGACCGTTATTCCCCCCCCCCTAGAGCAGAACTGTATAGAGCATGGGTAGGCAACCTTGGCTCTTTTATGACTCGTGGACTTCAACTCCCAGAATTCCTGAGCCAGCACAGCTGGCTCAGGAATTCTGGGAGTTGAAGTCCATGAGTCATAAAAGAGCCAAGGTTGCCTACCCCTGGTATAGAGAAAGATTTCATTTTTCATTTTTTTTCATTTTATTAAATTTATACCCCGCCCTTCTCCCGGAGGACTCAGGGCGGCTTACACAATCTTAAAGATCAACAGAGTTCAATTGATGCAGAATTTGAATACTCTATCAGCTTAGTTATTCACTTCTTACGGATAAACATATCAGTAGTGTCTAAGAAGGAATTACTACTTCTTGTTAGCACCTATTTTGCAGATAAATTATCCCGAGTAAGACCTGTTTCCTTATTAGGTGGATATTCAGTGTATTTGCACTAAAGTTACAGCATATTTATGGAGTAGCTTTGGGTGTCACCTTGATTGATAACACCCCAAAGAAAGTCAGAACTGGCTTGCAACTGATTGACCAAATTATATTGTTATTGTAGGCTTGCTATTATATACTCTGTGGAAGTGGGGGTTTGGGGAAGGAAAATTGGTGCCTTTTCCTGACTCCTGGTTACTGCAGTGGTTCATTGCATAATTTTTCTTAGAAAAAAAATTGTCTATATGCTGACTACAAAATTCTTTCTCTGTCACGAAAGCTACTGTTATTGTCCTATCACGTATGAGATGACTGGAAATAGTTGAGAGGTTCCTTCAGACTTGCTTGAAACTTTTTTTTTATAGTCTGAGCAGGTGTACCCCCTTTGGCAAGATGGATACACCTTTTCTTTCTTTACATTTTTACAATGAGCCGAGCAGTCATCCAGTAACATTCCCAAAAGCGATGGAGTCAAAAATCACCTCTGTTTAATTGTTAAACTTAGGGGTGCAATTATTTCAAGAATAAACAATGGTGCATTAAACCCATTGGAAGCTTAATATACTTAATACACAGAGTATTGACAGAAAATGTTTAGAAAGTTGTCATGGTTGTGGGTTGATTTTCGCGCAATGTCACCAGTATATTTTGGGGAAGTTGTAGGCTGGGCAGATTGGGCTTCAGGCAACTGAAAATTTCATTTCCCTTAAAGCAAAGTCATCTGCAGATGTCTGATCTCATTTCCAAATGATATTTGGATATAATCTACTCACAATTTATCTACTGATGGCTCGGTGGGCAGAAGAAATGGATTTGTTTTGCACCTATCAGACCACCCAGTTTTCCAAAACGGATTGCTGTTCTCCTGAAAATCTCCCCTAGAACTAGGCAGAAGGGATTGTAAAGGTTAGGGGTGAATAGCAAATCTAAGGTATCTCACCCCGCCTAGAAATAAACCCAGTAAGGTCCCCTAAATCCAAGCGGTTCCATTATCATCCTGAGGATGGAAGATACTGGACCGAAAGCAATTTGTTACCAAGTTGGATTTAAGATCTAAGAGGATCACTAGCTTTGAGCATTAACATCCCTTCCAGTAGGAGACCTCCGTGTAAATTTCCCACCGTGACCCATCCTAACTTTGCAATGAAAGTATTATGGGAAGTGGATTGACAAGAGCTGCTACATATAGAGGGCCCAAGGCAGATGCTAGTCACTTGGAGTTCGGGGTGCCTGAAAAATGCTGGATGCTGATATCAAGCTTGATTTGTTGTTTGTGGGAACTTTACGCCCAGATCAAGGTAGAAGATGGGATGGGTGTCAGTTCTCCTATGGCCTCATTAGTGACTCTGTTCTTCTGCCTTTCTTGAGTGGAGCATCAGGCATCCATCTGCTGTAAGCTCTGTCTCTTGGCTGGTAGGGTTTCAGTCCGTCTTGGTTCTTGGTCCTTTCTCTCTCTTGGGGGAGGCAACACCCCCCTTCTTCTTCTTCTTCAGCCCTACTCTCACTTTCCCACAGTGTGTATCTGTAACTTGGGTTTCTCATCTTGCAGAGAGGAAGTCAGATTCCTTTATTTCCCATGCCTTCCTTTCCTCCTCTTCCTTTTTTTCCCTCTTCCGTTTTTTCCTTTCCTTATTTTTCCTGCATTATTCCCTCCCCCCCACCCCCCACCCCCACCAGCCTGTGCGGTTGTTATCACTCACCGTGAACTAACACGCCCCCTGGTGTTTGCATGCAGTCATTGCATCCAGCAGATCCTGGAGGCTGTTCTCCATTGCCACCAAATGGGGGTCGTCCACAGAGACCTCAAGGTGAGTTTTCTTCCCCACTGCTCTGTCCGTCTGTCCGTCTTTGTATCTTTGCATGTTTTTTTTTCTCCTTCCGTTAAAAAAAAAAAGAAGTTGGATCACTTCTGAATGGTTCAGACTAAATTCCCTGAAAAACTTGTTCCAGGGTCCTTAGATAATTGTGCAATTTGTTTCTTGATCGTGGATTTATTTAGGCCATCCCTCTGACAGACTAATCAGAAATCAGCTTAATGTAATGGCAGCTGTGTTGTACGTTCTGCTGTGATCTAGCCTGGCTTGGAGAAATAGGGGAGATCTACTGCCTGATGTACCTTATCATTCATCTATCATTCCAAGTAATGGGTTAAACCATAATTCGTTGAGTTCCCTCTAGAGGTGATCGGATCTGCTGGATCAGACCAAAAAAACCTATCAAGCCCAATGTTCTATTCCTTTAGAGGTCATCTGGAAGTTCACAAGCAGGACCTCAGCACAACAGGATAGTAGACTTTGAAGAAGACCACTATGCTGACTTCATACCTCATGATAAGCTGGTTTGTTTTGTCTAGAGATATGGAGCCTATGGTCTTCATGCCGCTCACGGCATCCTTACATCAAACTGCTAATTTGGGTTGCGTTGTTTTCCATCTCTTTTGCCTCTGAAAAGTTGCAGAATTGTTTGATTTAAAACCTGCCTTTTCCACTTCCCTCTCAGTGCATGTGTATGTGCAAACAGATATGCATCCACCCTCTTCCTCAGTGCTATCACCATCCCATGCAACATGCATTCTGGGGCCCTAAGAGTCCAGATTAAAAAAAAAAGATACCTAAACTCAGAATAACTCAGGAAACCACACAAAGTATGCTCCCACATTTGCTACAGGGTCCAGTAAATCAAGAACATGCCATGGTTTCAAATAATAATTTGTTACCCTGAGCAAAAGTAAGGCCAAAATAATCTAGATTCTAAAGAGACAATTGATTTCAATCTTACTTTACCAAGCTGCAGAAGTATAAGTGGGAAGCCCAGTTCTCCTCAAAGTTTTGCAGAACTAAGAGGTAGTTAGTTCTCAGGAACATGGAAGAATTAGTGGCAACCATTTCCCTTCAGTAATCAAACAACGGACTGCATCTTTCATTGAAATTCAGTGGTCAAGTAGAGCATGCTTGAAGGATAGTAGTGTTTAGTAGAAATTCATGGTAAAGTATCAGGAGTGCTGTATAGGTGTCCCAGGATGCCTAAATTCTGAACCTTGTGTGACTTCACACAACCAATGGGTTCTACAAGGGCAGTTTAGACCATTAGCAGATTTCTTTGGACCACTGGGGTAAATCCTGCAATGTGAAAGATCTCAGAAGTCCTTGTTCATTTCCTATGTTCTTGGCCACGTTGCAACAAAATTACTCTTTGCCATCACAGTCCCTCATGAGTCCTGGACTGCAAGAAGTTTTCTTAATGGGAGAGGTCCCTCACTTTATGGTCATCTCCTAATGCAGCGGAGACCTTCCATTTCCATCCATCCATCCATCCATCCATCCATCCATCCAACCAGCCAACCAACCAACCATCCATCCATCCATCCATCCATCCATCCATCCATCCATCCATCCAACCAACCAACCAACCAACCAACCATCCATCCATCCATCCATCCATCCATCCATCCATCCATCCATCCATCCATCCATCCATCCATCCTGTCATACCTTCTGCAATTATATATCTTCCCCTCCCAGCACTGCCAAAAAGCTTTGGGGCTCCATGTAAGAAAACCTTTTTGTTCTTCCTTCCTTTTTGCATGCTTGCATGGTGTTTTTGGTCCCTTGCATCTTCATGCAGTTTGATAGATCTGAGCTGATTTCTGGGTAGCTGTTGGAGGCCCAACCAGGGAATCCATAGGGTAGGACCTAGGAAAAGCCAAATCCCAATATTTTCAGTAAACTCGAACTTTCATTTGGCCCCCCCAACTTACTTACTCCTTGCCTTCTTCCGCTTTCCTTTAGCCATTCATTTCCCCACCCTTTCCAACTTTTTTTCTTCTCGTGCTTCGGTGTCTGGGTCAAGACTTTAACCCAAACGGTGATGTTCGTAGACAGAGCAGCTGTAATCTCTCTCCTTCTAGAAGTGTGCATGCCTTCTATGTCTGGTTTAAATGTGTGCAAATGATTTATTTCTGTGAGTGTTCCCCTATTGGGTTTTTTGGTTTTGATACACTCCCTGTCTGGCCTCTTTATAATGCTCCTTTGGGTTGAGATGTGACGGGGGTATTATAAAGAGATCATATTTGACAAGTTTAACGGGCAGTTAAAGTTCAGCAATGTCTGGGTGTGTTATCGTAGCAATAAAGGAGGGGTACCTTGACAAGACACCCCCACCCCCTTTGTCTCTGTGTCCTGGGAATTTCTTTTTGAAAAGTTCTGTGTATCTGTTGGTCTTTTATAAAAAAAAAAAAAAAAGATTTGGGCTACCCCTCTCATTCCACTTCTGTGGTTATTATTTCTTGTTAAGCTTTGGGACAGGAATTTGACCAGAGCTTAAACCCTTTAAGATTAAAACAACAAAGAAACCTGCCAAAAATTGCTTAACAGCTTTAACTTTCTATTCAGCATCAGCAGGGCTCAATTGTTGGGGTGTCAAGCTAATTGGAGGGTTCGTACATGCCTGAAAATTATTTGGTTTATTTAAACAGCTGCCTTGGCTTGCAGTGGAATTGCCTTCACAAATGCCTAATAAAGTTTGTGCATAAACCTACTTAAACTCTTTAACAGGCAAAAATATCTCCAGAGCCTTGGACAATGTTACTTAAGCAAGAAAAAAAAACTTTGCTTTACATTCCATGGTTGAAAAGCTTTAGCTTCTGCCAAAGATTTGCCTCTGGTAACATGCTTTGGTATGGAAGAGCTTGTAGTCCTTCATAGTGGAGATTTTTCCTTTCTCTAGTTGCTAAAATAAATTGAAGAGAGATGAAATGTGATTTCACACGCATGGGATAATGTATGGGCCCTTTCCTTCGCTTTCTAAATGGAGTTGTGCAATTTTGAACCAGCTTCTATTATTCCATGGAAGGGGCTGTTGTGTATGCAGTTTTGGGATAATACAATGATAATGCACCTATGGTAAATCTTGTGAGAGGGTACACGTAGTCCTCGCTTACCGACTGTCTTTGAGTGAATGTAGGAAGATAAGGATACTTGGAACGAAAATAGCTTTGCGACCAATGGTTGCATTTGCAAGTGTCACAGTTTCCCTCAGTCACGCCATCACCATTTGCAAATTTCACAGCTGGCTTTCAACATGCAGAATTAATGGAGAAAGCAGAAGTGAAATCACAAAAGTCACCTGATGTTTCGCTTAATGCCCATGGTGTTTCACTTAACAGCGGAAGCAGAAGTGGCATTGTAAGGTCATTGTGCTCATGTGATTTATTTATTTATTTATTTGCTTAGTGACCACGGTGCTTAATGATGGAGTTGCCGGTCCTAATTGTGGTCGGTTAAGTGAGGACTAGCTGTAGTGACAAGAAAAGTCCCTGCATTAATAATTCACACTTGTGTACTCGTACTTCACAACAAAAGGACATCCATTTAGCACATCCATTAATATATGTTAATCTGATATTTGCGACTAAACAAAGCCTTTGATGCGGATTTTGTTTGTTATGCAAATCCAAGATAAAGTATAAATGAAAATATTCATGTGGCGTTACTTTATGCAGATAGATGAGCCTAAATGGTTCAGTTCTAAATTTAGTATTTCCAGAGGACCAACTGAAACGAAGGAGGCTAAATTTAGTCACATTTTTTTTCATTTCCTTCAGTTTGTTCTAAGGATAACTCAATCTGGAAGCAACCCATTATCTCGTGTTCATAATAGCTGATGTGCTTTGAAAAGTTAGTTGAGACAGAGTTTCTCTGCTATCTTTTTGGAAAATAACTCCATTTTTAAAAGGGATTTAAAAAAAAAACAATTTTCAAGCTCAGAGTTAAAATATAAAACCCTTTGCTCTCATGATCACGTGAAGTGTTAATACCACTTTACAATGCCTTGGTAAGGCCACACTTGGAATACTGCATCCAGTTTTGGTCACCATGATATAAAAAAGATGTTGAGACTCTAGAAAGAGTACAGAGAAGAGCAACCAAGAGGATCAGGGGACTGGAGGCTAAAACATATAAAGAACAGTTGCTGGAACTAGGTGTGTCTAGTTTAATGAAGAGAAGGACGAGGGGGGACATGATAGCAGTGTTCCAATATCTCAGGGACTGCCACAAAGAAGAGGGAGTCAAGCTATTCTCCAAAGCACCTGAAGGCAGGGCAAGGAGCAACGGATGGAAACTAATCAAGGAGAGAAGCAACCTAGAAGTAGACAGAACAATTAATCAGTGGAATGACTTGCCTTCAGAAGTTGTGGGCTCTCCATCGCTGGAGATTTTTAAGAAGAGACTGGAAAGCCACTTGTCTGAAGTGGTATAGGGTTTCCTGCCTGAGCAGGGGGTTGGACTTAAGACCTCCAAGGTCCCTTCCAACTCTGTGGTGAGATGGGTGGTAAACAAATTTGAAAAATAAAATTAGACAGGTTTTTGAGTTCATTGAAGAGGAGTAGCAAATGTGGTGAAATATCATGGAGGATCTCAGCCTATTCATTAAAGCATTTATCCACCATGATTCGATACATGTTTACACAAAAGGGTAACTAAACTGAATGAGCTTATACACTGTCAGAGTCATTAACGCAATAGTCTTAAATGGATAATATATTCTACAGATTTAATTAGCTTAACTATATTGTGCTAAAAAGATTTTTGGTTACAGTGAGGTTTAATGCCTTGAACAACAGATGCTCTTCTTTCAGAAATAATATTGGTGTGGTTAGCAAAAAAAAAAAAAGAGTTCAGATAATATCATCCTCAACATAAGGATTGGGACTTTGATCTAAAACATGATTAGATTGTCCCAAAGGTATGTGATTCTTCTCTTCTTCAAAGAAGGATGGAATGACAATGGAGCTGTTATTTTCTTCTGATGCTTTTCGGTGACATTAGAAAAAAAAACTGGAATGGGACAACTCTCCACGGCCAATTCACTGTGGGACAACTCGCCGCAGATAACTTATCAATTCAATTTAATTATTTAAAATAAATTAAAAAATGTTTTAATTTTTGTCATTCAGATTTCATTCTGTCCCTTCTTTAGCATCCTTTCTTTAATTATTCCATTCCACCATTTCTTCGATATCGGTGTAAATCTTGTCCTGCAGTGAGTTGTCCCCCCAGCGAGTTGACCGTGGCATGTTAGCCACAGCTAGTTGACGTTGGCGAAGTTGACCGTGGTGAATTGTCATAGATCCTTAGAAAACATATAATTCAAATTATAAGCAATTTTATTTTGCACATTTGTCCTCCTTGATTATAATAGAATGCACTGCCAAGTTAAGCGTATGCTTATGAATGCAATCTCTTTAATTTTTGCTCGCTAAATTTATCCATTCGTTTTCTAGCCCTTTGCAGAAAAGTGGAATCAGAATGAAATCAGTAAATGAAGATTAAGTATAATTGTGCATTCTCACTGGACTGTGAAAGTTAGTGTAGACTTTGGTCATATTGTTTTATACAATAACTAAGTTTCACTTTAGTTATAACCTGGTTGCTAACCGCAATAGAATTATTATTGTTTATTTAAGCTTTTTAGACAAAAGTTCAGTGGACATAATTTCCTAATGGTTGTTGACCTTCACTCAAGAACAAGTCAATAACTGTATACAGTAGATATTTGCATTAAATCAATAAAGGGCAATAGTTATCTTGACTTATAACAGTGACCATAGATTAACCGTAAAGTAGAATCAAAGGAACTCTCAAGTAGACTTTGAAGTCTACTAGGAAAGGGTGTTGATCAATCAGCTACATTGGTCTCAGACTATTTTATGATTTGCAGCTAATTCAAAGACAACCAGTAGCATCATATATCATATTAAGACGTAATGTGGCTTGCTTGGTTTTAGTTTATGTTGTAGTTTGAACCCAGCCATTGTAGTTAAGAAGTTTGGCTCCCAACTGAGTATGAGGTACAAATCCAGCCACTTAGGGTTTATTTAACAAAGCATGGTTAGTGCAATGTGTGAACCAGACCTGAGTTGCTTAGCTGTTACAGATAGAAATATTTGGTACAGTAACTTTGCTAGATGTTGGCTTCTGTTCTGAAAGATCTTGTTGGTAATTGTACATAAATAATCAAATATTTTGTTACAAATGTTATTCCCTCCACATTTAGTGGAGCTTCTAAGATGTGTCTGCCAATGACTGTCGGGTGGAAGTGCTTCCTTGCATAGTTTTTCTATCTTAATTTGATGTTGCATATTGAAAAAAAAAAGGAAGGCCAGGAAATAGGTCATTGGGAAATACTATGGTCTGAGTTTAAAATGCTAGTTCCAAGATTCAGTATTCTTTAAGCTGTCTTTAAACCAGCTAGGATGAGACAACTGATTTAATTCCCATTCATTCTAAGGGGACCGCTCAAAGGATACCTACATCTGGAACCAAAATACAAATGGATTTTAACAGATGTTGCAGCTTGTTTTGGAGTTTCCTAGCTGGGAATTATAGTTTAATGAAGCACTCTAGCTTGAAAGTGTTCAAGTGAAGCCTAAGATAGTTGTGAAATCCTAGCGGGTAGTGACGTTCATTGATTGCAGTGGGACTGCAATGGAGACTTTATCCTTTTGCTGGGAATTTGTTTCCGTTCTTTAACAATCATGCCACGGAAATTAAGAAGCTATAGCTAGGCCTTTCAAGGCAGAAAAGAAAAGCACGAAGAACCGAGAGCTAGACGTTTTCAATCTCAGAGGAAGATTGGCTCTGGGTGAGGGTGGCATTTTTCTACAAAGGCACACCAAATCCATTGCCCTCGTGGATTTTCCATTGTTCATCTACCTGCAGATTCCTGTTCTGCAATGGATTATATTTGGGATTGGACTGTGTCAGAATAGATGGAAAAGGCCCACGGGCCCTTGTCTGTGGAGATTCTCAGTCATCCAGGTCATGGTTGTCCCAAAGATGCTTTTTTCAAGAGGCAAGTTGGACTTTCCTTGTTTTTCCTTGAAGATGTTTCTCTTCTTATCCAAGAAGCTTCTTCAGTTCTGACTAAATGGTGGGGGATGGAAGGATTTGCAACACAGCCCTTTCAGCAGTTCCAAAAAGGTTCCACACCCATTTACACTATTCAAGTGACCCTGAGGTCACAAGTGACCTCAACGATTCTCAGAAAGAGTGTCAACGACCAAATGACTGCAAGGAATATAAATCCTTCCATTTTCCACCATTCAGTCAGAACTGAAGAAGCTTCTTGGATGAGAAGCGAAACGTCTTCAAGGAAAAGTAAAGGAAGTCCAGTTGCCTCTTGAAAAAAAGCACCTTTGGGGCCCATAGGCCCTTCCAAATTCTTCCTTATCTCAAAGAAATGTAACCGTGTGTATGAATTGATGGCTAGTTAGAAGGATCTTGAGCATATGAAGCCCTACTTTCTTCAATGGGATATATCTCTTATCAATAATTATTGGAACCCCCCCCCCTTAGTACAGTCTGTAGCATTGAAGTTCTTTTGTTTTTAAGGTGTCCTTCCTAAACCTCCAAAGAAGAAAGCTGCATGGTGCATAGATTCAGCAGTGCATGTTCGCATACTGGCAACCAGTTGGCTCCTAATCTTTTACCAGAGCTTGCATACATTCTTTTTCTCTATAATTTGTAACATTGCCGAAGTTTTCTAAGGAATGCATTCAAGAGGGATACTTCAGTGTCTCCTAACTTTTGAGCAGAATAGTCTCTGGATTGCCTATTTGAACCCCGGCCATAATGGGATGCAAACCGGATCTTATTAATCCATATTTGTTAGATCAAAAGAAAAATAAAAGAAATTCAAACAAAGGATGGAATGGAGGGGAGCCCTTGTGCATGTTTGGTGGGTCGAATATTGTCTGTTGTGTCGTCCTCAGTTTACCAACTGAAAACCAGAGCTCCACCATTATGTGCTTTTTCTCTTTGATGTTGCAGCCAGGGGTATTCTTTCTTAGCTTCATTATGGTAAAAATAATGATTTAAGTTTTATGTATACATTCATCCCATTCTGCTATAGTTTTGACATGACCAGAGAGAACTGGAAGAATGAATCTAGCCTTATCTAACCTGTCACCATCCAGTCCGCCCCAATCTGATACTAGTCCTGCACCCTACTACGCTGTTCTTGTTTAAAGAAGATCTGATCCAACCCCCTTCAGAAAAAAGGAAGAGGTCAGAATTCTGAGTCCCCAAAACCAAATGCAGCCAAAGCCACAAGAAGCATCCTCAAGATGTTCTCTTAGGAAACTCTTTAATAATTCTAGGACAGCAAATAATACCCCAAGCAGGAGCGAAATCTAATCTCCCAAATCTTCCCAAGAGATTAGTTTTTCCCTTGGAATGCTAATTTGTAAACACAAAACCTTACATCATGGCTACTCTGGCTCTTTAGTATCACAGCTTGCCTTTTTAAAAGGTATCGGTAGGTCTGACAGTTAAGAGGATTGTGGGGAGGGCACTATATATCATGAGCCAGGCTTGGATCAAGAGGATAAAAGTTACATCTATAAAATGAAAAAAAAAACATGGGCTAGGAAATGCAAGTCAAGCTAGGTGGTTATTTATGTTCCTTGCAGTTTTTGTGTGCACCCCCTCCCAATATAGACCCATAGTAGAAGTGCATTTAAAATAAATTACGGATCTGTTTTCCCAACTTAAACTGATTTTAAAAACAGCTTTCTTGTGCTCCTGAACCTCTTAACATATTTCCCTCTAATTCTGGACGAGTGCCACTCGCAAGATAGACTACAATGGAACAGATACATAAGCAGCAGAGATGATCCTGGACCACCAACAGGCCCATGTTAGACACATCTACTCGCCTTCAATGGACTGAGTCCCCAAGTCAGCACATATAGGATTGCATTGGCAGAAATATAGGGACAAAAGCACTTTGGATCTCTCATGATATATCTAAGTCAAATCACGCAAGGTGTTCAGTTATGAGGTCCAAACCAGTCGGTCCACCACCAGCCGTTCAGGCAAAGCTGGACTGCGTGATGGAGTGTCTCAATTTTAGTGGATAATCTTTCCACTTAAATAAGGTTCTCTCTAGGTCTGTCTGCCTCAATCTGTATGGAGGGGAGGGGAGGGAAATATTAACAAAAGTTTGACGGGCTTCTGCAAACCGGTTGCTGTTGTTGTTTCTCTTTTCTTCCTCCTTTCCTTTTGATTTAAACTAACCACAAACTATGAAAACGTCGCCCTGTATTCTGTTGGGTCATCCCGACAGCCGGAGAACCTGCTTCTGGCCAGCAAATGCAAAGGGGCAGCGGTGAAATTGGCAGATTTTGGCTTGGCAATTGAGGTGCAAGGAGACCAGCAGGCCTGGTTTGGTGAGTGCAGGGTGAAACTACGCTCCCTTCCTCTTTTCTTGGTTTGTGCGGTGGAGCCAGGTGGTTGTGTGAACATACGCGTGTTGGCAATTTTTGCTTTCTCCCTCAGGCTTTGCAGGTACTCCTGGTTACCTTTCTCCAGAGGTTCTACGCAAAGAAGCTTATGGGAAACCTGTGGATATCTGGGCGTGCGGTAAGAGGGAGCTACATGATTCTGCTCTATCATGGTGGGCCCGTAGAGATGCAAAGAGGGCTCCCCATTTAGTCCAGGGCTCAGCACCACACTGCAGAGCAGCTCACAAAAGTTGGTGTGTGGCCCTCAAAACTCAGAGAGAAGACAAACTCTGATAGAAGACAAACTGCAAGACAGTTTTGTAGAGGAAATTGTTTGGGTATGGGTTGAACAGGATGTTACTTACTATTATAGCTATACATTTACGTTCCTCCTCACAGAATTTTCAAGATGGCCCACAGCACACACAAAAAAGAAGCAATAATAAACACTTAAGTTTAGCACTAATATGAACAAAACAGTCAAAGCTGCATGATGACACTCAGTTCCATGTGGCTGCCAAGAAAATTACCTGGATGTGGCTATGGGCTTGACTGGATGGAGAATATAAAACCTTGGGGTCAAAATGGTGGTGAGATGGCAGGACTATCAAAGCTCCATTTGCTTTTGTGTGTCACATGTACAACACACACACACAAATCAGGCAATCACACCATTATGGCCAACATGTTGACTTTTTTTTTTAACCATATCTGTGGACACCATGGCTAGAAGGATCCAGCTCCAGGTCTTCTTCTGCTGAAAACCAGTGAATAGTCTAGATGGGATGTCCCCCTCAAGTCCTTTTGCTTTCTGGGTTGTTCCGATCACTATAGATCTCCCATTTGCTCAGACACACACACACACACACACACACACACACACACACTCCTAGTAAAAGAAGTAGCCTGCAACTCCTCATACCCTTGTAGATTTCAAAATGAGGATCAGAAACCATTTGCCTGTTTCCTTGCTTGCTTTTTCTCTGTCCCAAATCAGGCTAAGTAGAGTGTGCACCTCAAGATTTGGATCTGTTTACTCGCTTAGTCCAGTTTAGATTATTGCCGATTGATTAATTTATTTATTTATTTATTTATTTAACAGGATTTATATGCCGCCCTTCTCCCCATGGGACTCAGGGCGGCTCACAGCGTATTAAAACATCATACAAAAAATTTCCCCTACTAAAAACCAATTAAAACCCAAATATTGGTAGCTGTGGCTCTTTAAAATCGTTAAAAATTGTCCCTATTTAAAACTCACCCTAGGTCANGCGGAAGGTTAAGAGATCCGGAATCGTCCGGATCTCGGGGGGTAGTTCGTTCCAGAGGGTGGGGGCACCCACAGAGAAGGCCCTCCCCCTGGGGGTCGCCAGCCGACATTGCTTGGCCGACGGCACCCTGAGGAGGCCCGCTCTGTGGGAGCGTACCGGCCTGTGGGAGGGAATCTGCGGCAGAAGATTTGTTTGCTTATCAATTTCCTGTTGTTCCATTTTTCCTTCCCAGGTGTTATTCTTTACATCTTACTGGTGGGGTATCCTCCCTTTTGGGATGAAGATCAGCACAAACTGTACCAACAGATCAAGGCTGGTGCCTACGATGTGAGCAGTGGTTTCTTTTGCTTGGGTTCCCTCCGGCTTACAACCTGCCGGGTTTCACTAGACCAGTGGTTCTCAATCTATGGGTCGGGACCCCATTTGGGGTCGATCGACCATTTCACGGGGGTCGCCAAGCAAGGCTGTCCACCATTTTTTTGTCCGCCATTTTTTCCCCCTTTTCTGGCGGGTGCCTTACCTCCCTTGGGCTGGGCCAGCTGGTGGTCGGCCTGCTCCGTCTCTGCCGCTTGCCAGCTACGCCTCGGCTGGCGCAGGGGGCGGAACCACGCATGTGCGGTGCTCCCGGGCAGGGAAAGTCCTTGACTTACGACCGGTTGGGTAGTCCTCGACTTAAGACCGGTTTAGTCCTCGACTTACGACCGGTTGGGGTCGCGGCATTAAAAAGGTTGAGAACCACTGCACTAGACTACTAATGGCCCAAATAGAAAAGTTCAAAATTTGCTGTTCTTAAAATCAAGAACTGGGCTAATTGTAAGGTCTCCAGTAGGAGCTAAAGTCTCCTTGGGAATGAGTTTCAAAAGGACCAAGGGATCCTTTGCAGGCATTTGTTTCATTCTTCAGTCGATAGCTGTCAGGATAGATAGCTTGGGTTTACACATCACAGTAAGCCCTAATAGGCTGTATTGCATTCAACCAATTATTTATGAAATAAAGAAATCATGATTTACAGCAGGTGCGCCCAGCCTTTTGGCTCGCCTATTACATTGAGCGAAGAATTGTCTTGGGCCTCATATAAAATATGTAATATAGTAAACTATCTCTAAAAAAATATATCACATAATAATGTTAAAAGTTTACAGTCTTGTGACTAGCTGTCCAGGGCCATATGCAGACCATGGGCCACAGGTCGGTCAAACCTGATTTAGAACAATATGTCCATTTTTTCTTTTTTTAAAAATGCCAAATCTGATAACAATGATTCAAATGGAATAAATCATATACATACTTTTTAAAAATATCTATAACTGAATGCCTCATGTTGAATTTTTAACAGCAATGTGTGGATGAAATCTTGGCTCATACCTCAGGTTTCTGTTGATGTCTTTGTGTTACTCTAGTTGGTATTATAAATACCAACTTAATTGACTAGAGAGGACCCTTTTCTTTTAATATTAACATTGTCTTCCTGCAATATCTTCTTCCTTTAGTTTCCTTCCCCTGAATGGGACACAGTCACTCCTGAAGCAAAAAACCTCATAAACCAGATGCTAACCATCAACCCTACAAAGAGAATCACAGCACATGAAGCTCTGAAGCATCCATGGGTCTGCGTAAGTATGATTGCACCATCCTTCTGGCTTAGATTCAACCTATTTGCCCAAACATTGTTAAAGGAATCCCAAGCTTCCTTGTTTAGTTCCCTTAGAGATTCTAAAATAGTTACACCTTCTAAGATAGGATATTAGCAAAATGATGATAAGGATGCACAAGCTTCCAAAAAGCTTTCATGAGAGTACCTCCACTGAGTAGATGTTTTCAAATAACCTCATTTATAAAACTGCTGTCAACTGCACTGTTTTGAGTATTCTGTGGCAAGCTGACTCAAAGAACTTGGATGATCCAAGAAGGATCCACTGAGGTTAACTTAGATGGGGATGATCCAGGAAGGACCCACTGAGCCACAAGGAGGTCCACTGCTGCTCTCTCTCCCCCTTCCCCCCCCCTTAAGGTTAGTTTGGGCTAACCTTATTGCTAGTGACAGCAGTGATCCTCTGCAAGAAGTTGTTCTAAATATGTGGCTATAGGGCACGGGTGTCAAACTCGATCGCGTCACGTGACGTGTCGTGATGTATCGCAATGTTTTTTGCCTTTGCGGAGTCGGGATGGGCGTGGCCTGCGTGTGACACATCCGGCCCATGGGCTGCCAGTTTAACACTCCTGCTATAGGGGATCTGCAGAACAACGGGTTGCGTTGATGCTATGGAAACTGCCTGAGTAGGCAGATACTACAACCACCTTTTGTTGGGTTGCTTCAAGGACCTCCTTAGCATAGTGCATTCAGTACAGCTAACTGGTCCCTAAGTTGTTTTAGAAACCTGCAGGCCAGGAAGGCAGCAGGGTCTATCTCTGTTTCCCCACAAACGCAATTCACCCTGCCTTTATGTTGACTTCCCCGGTCTCCCCTCCCTCTTTTCCTGCATGCACTTTTTTTTAATCCCAGCCAAACGCTTTAGACCAGTGATGGCAAACCTTTTAGAGACCAAGTGCCCAAACTGCAACCCAAAACCCACTTATGTATCATCGGGTGCCGGGTGGGTGTGGCCCATTGGGTGGGCGTGGCCCAGTGGGTGGGCGTGGCTGCAGTGGTAACGGCAGACTGTGTGGGACTAAAAAGTTCAATCAATCAATTCCAACTTTGCGAGATCTTTTTTTTCCCTGGGAGAAATTGATTGATTGATTGAACCTTTTTTTTTTGCACACGGCGGCGGAGGCCTAAAGCTTAAAGGTTTTATAAAACTCAGCTGAAGGCCTAGGACTGGGGCGACGGCACATGTGCCCACAGAGAGGGCTCTGCTTGCCACCTGTGGCACGCGTGCCATAGGTTCGCCACCACAACTTTAGACTTTTTCACTTGGCTTCCCTATCTTACCCTCATGCCTTCTAATATTCTTTTTTGCAGCAACGTTCGACAGTGGCCTCCATGATGCACAGGCAGGAGACTGTAGAGTGTCTGAAAAAGTTCAACGCAAGAAGGAAGCTCAAGGTAAGTGGTTTAAGGGGCTATGAAGGTGGAAATGCATAAGGCCTGAATCTCTCTCTATTTAACATGCAAGGCAAGTACAACTTTAGAGCAGATGTTTCAGCCCTGATTTCCAATTCAAAGCCAGTCTCAACACACAAAAATTAGACTGAATGCATTGGTTAGCAGTTGATGTCACTGATGCAAGGTTGCATCTAGCATATAGGGACACCCCCTGTCCCCCAAATGTGTCGACTTCCCCTATCTTTACTCGACACACGAAGACCTTAGTCTCCAATGTCGCTTGGCTCCACCAGAGCAAGCAGATGATGAACAAACAGACAGTAGTTAGAGTTGTATTGTGTGAGAAAGGCTGCGAAGACTCAAGCTGTTCTTTCTCTTAGCCATGTTTCCATCAGAGCAGGAAGGATTAAGGCTGGGAAAAGACAAGATTGTCCTTTGTGATCGGCTGAAGATGAAGGAGCTTCCTGGGAATCTCTGTAGAGTAGGTTAAATGAAATGAAGGAGGAACATCCATCCTCTAAGGAGGAAATGGTCTGTTCATAGCTCAGGAAATAATGTCTATGTGATGGTCCCACCATTATGTTTTTGCTCTATACCAGGATGTCCAACTTTGGCCACTTTAAGGCTTGTGGACTTCAATTCCCAGAATTCTCCAACAATAACACTTAGAGTTATGTACTGCTTCATAATGCTTTACAGGACTCTCTAATACAGTGGTTCTCAACCTGTGGGTCGGGACCCCATTTGGGGTCGATCAACCATTTCATGGGGGTCGCCAAACAAGGCTGTCTGCCATTTTTTTTGTCCGCCATTTTTTTCCCCCTTTTCCAGCGGGTGCCTTACCTCCCTTGGGCTGGGCCAGCTGGTGGTCGGCCTGCTCCGTCTCTGCCGCTTGCCAGCTACGCCTCGGCCGGCGCAGGGGGCGGAACCACGCATGCGCGGCGCTCCCGGGCAGGGAAAGTCCTCGACTTACGACTGGTTGGGTAGTCTTCGACTTACGACCGGTTTAGTCCTCGACTTACGACCAGTTGGGGTCGTGGCATTAAAAAGGTTGAGAACCACTGCTCTAATACTTTACAGAGTCAGCCTCTTGCCCCCAACAATCTGGGTCCTCATTTTATTAACTCCGAAGGATGGAAAGCTGAGTCAAATTTGAGCCGGTCAGAATCGAATTCCTGGCATTGAGTCTGGCTGTGGCATTTTGGAAGTTGAAGTCCACAGGTCTTAAAGTGGCCAAGGCTGGACACCACTGTTTCATACAGTATATTCATATGGTGGGAAACAAGTCAATGTGACATTTGACACACACAATAAACCAGAGATGAAGTTTATGGAACATTTAAGTTAGCAAGAGAAGCTGCTTTCTGTCTTTGCTTCAGTTCCTTGGTTTTAAAATCAAATTAAGACTCTTTGCTCCTGCTCTGGATGAGAAAGGCATTAGAGAGGCAAAAAAAAAATGATTATGCTTCAGAACATGTTAGAGATAATTTTGAAATTTGCCCCAAAGTTTAGACATCTGTTTCTTTTCTAAAAACAACCTATTTCTCATTACAATGCACTCATTCCTTAATAATTCCATGTCTGTTACACATTATTTCACCTATATTCCATCGTACTGGAAAACTGTATAGTATTACAATGGGCAGCGTTTATCTTCTGTACATTCTCCAGGCCTCATACTAATTGATACGATTTATTTGACAAGATGTCTTTCACCTTCCAAGCATGGCAAAAGTTAGCTATAATGAAAAGAAATGGAATTATTTCATTTTTGCCCAACAGCATGTTATCTACATTAATCTTTTTCTGCAAAGATTTGAATGTTAATCAACAAGCCACTTCAGAAAACCGTCATTAAATCAGTAGTTCTTCTTAGCAATTAGGGAGATTTTTCTGCTATTCTCCAATGAATTAAATTTTAGTTGCCTCAAAGTTTGCATTTGTTAACAATAAACCTTCCAAAAGACAAGTGGCAACAGCCAGCTTGTACTGTCTTCTTAATACTAGTTTCAGGGATGGTGTTGTTATCTAAGTGGACTGTAGCTGGGATAATGAAAAAGACAAAGGGCAGAATATTTGGTTAATGTGTTGAATATGGTGGGCCACTGTTTGAGCCCCCATTTCCTGGGAAGGTCAGCAGGAGATTTTAGGCAAAATTCCTATTATTCCAGCTTGACTTTGCTCAGAGATCTATTATGAATAGAATAGAAGAGAAGAGAAGAGAAGAGAAGAGAAGAGAAGAGAAGAGAAGAGAAGAGAAGAGAAGAGAAGAGAAGAGAAGAGAAGAGAATGGAAGAATGGAATGGAATGGAATGGAATGGAATAGAATAGAATAGAATAGAATAGAATAGAATAGAATAGAGTAGAACAGAATAGAATAGGAATGTTGAATAGAATAGGAATGTTGAATAGAATAGAATAGAATAGAATAGAATAGAATAGAATAGAATAGAATAGAATAGAATAGGACAAAACAGAACAGAATAGAATAGGAATGTTGAATAGAATAGAATAGAATAGAATAGAATAGAATAGAATAGAATAGAATAGAATAGAATAGGAATGTTGAATAGAATAGAATAGGAATGTTGAATAGAATAGAATAGAATAGGAATGTTGAATAGAATAGAATAGAATAGAATAGAATAGAATAGAATAGAATAGAATAGAATAGAATAGAATAGAATAGAATAGAATAGAATAGAATAGAGAATGGAAGAATAGAATAGAATAGAATAGAATAGAATAGAATAGAATAGAATACTTTAGTGTCACTTTAAATGTACACTAATCGACATACGTTAAAATGAAATTTTGTTGCATACAACTCTCAAAAGGGTCACCATCTCCAATATACACTACATAAATATGATAAGAAAAATTGCATATACCCTCTTACCCACACACACTCTATGACACAGAGAAACAACACAATCTAGTTCGGATGCATACATGTAAATGGCAAGAAAAACGAATCTTGCGAGTTTCCTGGACGGATGGCATAGGGAACAAAGCTATTACAGAATCTGGTAGTCCTGCTGGAAGTACTTTGAAACCTCCTCCCAGACGGGAGCAACAGAAACCGACCGTGAAGTGGGTGGGTGAGGTCTCTAACAATGCTTCAAGTTCTAAGCACACACCGCTTGTAAGCAGTATCCTGAATAAAGGGAAGCCAGCTTCCTATAATTCCTATATACATTTCCTATAATTTGATGCATTGCTTATTCTTCGTTTATGCAAAACATATACTTCTCTCTTTCTTTCTTTCTTGTGTTTAAAATTCCTTCAAGAATTTCCTTTGTACGTCTATTTACTTTTTTCTGCTTTCTTCCTTTTAGGGTGCCATTCTTACTACTATGTTGGCAACAAGAAACTTTTCAGGTGAGAAATGCTTTGCTTAATAACAAGTCAGAATTTAAAAAAAACACACACCTCAGTGCTTTCCATACGTCCTTTAATTAAAACAAAGCAAGCAAAAAGAAATTCTTCTAAACCACTATTATTTAGCCTCAGTCTCAGGAGGTGACCTTCATCCCTTTTCTCTTAATACTCTGTGTTCTTTGGGCATGGCTGTATTATCATCAGAAAGGTTAAACTGGGACCAGAGGTAGGGCCCAAACTTAATTTATTTCTGCTGAAAGGGTATCATCGGTGATTTAAAAGGCGGCGGGGCGGGGGGGGGGAGAAATCCTGAATGGCCATTCAACAAGCTTGCTTTCATAAGCCCTGCCAAACTTCCTGTGGACCTGTTCTTCTCCTTTGTTGTCCTAAATAAATGAAGCCAAAGTCTTTGGATTCAATGCTTTAGCACTGGGATACCCATCCGTGCAGCCTTTCTGTGTGGCTTCGTCTGCCCTCCCCCCCCTCAACTGCCCTCAATTATATTTCTCAGGTTGCTCCTTACATCTAGCTAACCTAGCTTGATTTGCAGTTTCATCCTGACTCTGCCCCAGAACTTTCAGGAGTTGCTTGCAAATTTCCCCAGAGTCCTTTTCCTCTGCCTCTGAAACGGTCCTCTTTATGCTACAACTGTTTTTGGTTTAAGTAGGGCAGGGTTCCTAGGTCAGTGGTGGCGAACCTATGGCACACGTACCAGAGGTGGCACTCAGAGCCCTCTCTGTGGGCACGCGTGCCATGTCCTGGAGATGGCAACCGTCCCTCTTCAACCAGCCGCCCGCTAACTCACCAAGGTCCCACATGGCCAGATGCATCCCAGCACAGCTGGTTTCCCTCCCCCAGCCCTGCCACGCCTTGTCTCGCCTCACCCCACAGTACGAGCCTCCTGCCCACCGCCTCATCTGCCAGAGACCCCCTGTCCGGCCCCCACAGGCATCCCTCCCCACAAGCAACATCGAGGTGACCACATCCACCTTGGCCACACCCACCCAGTCTGCCTTAACCACCACAACCACGCGCACCCAGTGGGCCACGCCCATCTGGCACCCAGTGATAAATAAGTGGGTTTTGGGTTGCAGTTTGGGCACTCGGTCTCCAAAAGGTTTGCCATCACTGCCCTAAGTTGTTTCCTTAGCTTTTCCTGGAGTGGTTGAGTGGGTGGGTAGGTGGGTGGGGAATCTAATAAAGGGGAAACCTTAAAAAGGCACATGCTTTGGACTAGAGCGCATTAATTCTTTGAGTTGGCTTTGCCTGGGGATGCAGAGTTGCAGTGTGCTTGTTCCATCCTGTGGGTCGTAGTTCACAATGGACATCCATCCAGGAAACATTTTCTAAAAAAGGAAAGTACTTTTCTCACTATAGGAAATGAGTTGCTTTTCCTGCCAAAAGGAAAAAAGGAAACGAACGCACCTGATTTCTTTAAAAAAACAAAAAAAGGGTGAAAGATGGCTGAGTAGATGCCTCAAGCGGTAGTCCACCCCTACTGTCGTCTCTCCTTCCTTGCTCACCTGCGGGGTTTCTTTTCCCATCACTGTTCATGGGCCTAATCAAAGCCCTATGAATTTTCCAGCAAATCGCGGCGCAATCCATGTTCTGCACCTAGAAAACTCCAATTCTGCAGCTAGCAGGGGTTGTAAAGGCCTATTAGTTCTAGATAAGGATATACTGTGCTATCATCGACAACGAGAATTGGTTTTATCTAATTCAGGATGCAGGAATTTTCTGGGCAAAAAGGGTGTGTTGATGGACAAAGTGACTGACTGGGAAGCGGTGGCGTTTTGAAGACATTGAGGAAGAAGAGGGAAGATGGGCAAAGATGTTGAAAGAAGCAGTGATCTTCAGCAATAAATAAATAAATCTCAAACTTTTTGTTCTCCTAGCCTGTTGCTAGCTGGGGGATTGATGGTATCTCCTGGAATTATAGCTGGGTAAACTACTGAATCTTAATGGCAGCCTGATCCTCCCAGCTGGAAAACAGGTGATGGCTACAAGGCACCTGTGTTCTGCCCTAAGTTTCTTTTACTTCTTCCTAAGTAATTTTATGGTGATTGCCAAATTCCATAAACATTTCTGGCATCACAGAATTACTGAGTATTTTCTGGTTTTGAGGCATTCCAACTTGGCATTTAAGCATTTCTTGCCAAGTGATTCTTCCATTGGGAGGTTCAGAATCATAGTGGAGGAAACCCCAGAAGTGGAAAAATGATGATTACTGTGATTTAATACACCAGTGAGGCTTAGGAAGCCAGCAGCAGAAGAGGTGCATGGCTCCCATACTGCATTCCATGCGTTAGCAACTCTCTAGGAATTCTCGACCCCCAAGTTAGGACTTCTTTAATGTTCAGCAGACCTTCCTCATTCCAGCTGCATTTGATTAATCCTGGTCCTGCGGAAGCCTTTCCTAGCCATCAAGCCTTCCAGGACTCAATAGCAGAATGAGTACTTTAGAGCATCTTCAAAAGTGATGAACCTAAAACCTGGATCCAAGGTTCCCCTACAGCTGATGGGCTTCCGGTGCAGAGAAAGAAGATAATAACTCTTGATTCTGATGAAAAAGATCCATGGATTGTGTAAAAGTGAATGCACGTTTGCTACCAGTAGTCATGCCTCTTCATCTCAACTTTTAACTCTAATCTTGTTCTGCTTCCTTTGTCTCCTTTCTTTCCCCATCTGTCTTTCCCTCTGCCTTTTCTTTCTCTTTCTCTCTGTGCCTCCACTCTTCTCTAACTCTTTCCCCCCATCCCTTTTCCTACTTGCTGTCCTTTATTTCTTTGTTTTCCACTCTGGTGCTAACAGTGGGCAGACAGACCACCGCTCCTGCTACCATGTCTGCAGCAGCAGCAGCCTCCGGTGCCACCATTGGGTTGGTGGAGCAAGGTAGACGTGTCCGGAAGAGACCCTCCTCACTTTCCCCTCTTCTCATTTTGAAATCTTGAGCGCATGTTGTGTCATTCATCCAAAGCACTTCATCCCACCCGGTTGTAAGATACCAGGGCTAGCCGCTTCACCGCCACAGAGCCCAAACGCGAGGGCCACCTCTGTAGAAGTCTGTCTGTTAGTGGTGTCCGTTCTGTCTCACTCCATTAAGTCGTGATTAGAAATGGTCGTGAAAGCGTTACAGGAAGGGATTGAAATCAACTAAATGTAAAAGTTGCAAGTCAGCCCTATCTCCAGACCCTGAATGAAGCAGAGTGGAAGTTGCAGACCAATGACAAGAACAGGAGATGCGAGCTTTGCAGCTTAAGTAGTGGTGGTGTAGCTAGAGGTTGAGGGTCTGGTGGGTGGATATTATTTTAGCGTATTTTTTTTTTTTGAAAATATATTATCATATATTATTAAATACCACCTGAGGCTATTACTCTAACAACAAATATCCAATAGAAAATGGAAACCATGAAGAACAGTGGCAGTCTTAATGAAAGGAGAAGTGGTGACTGCCAGGTGAATCCATCCTTACTTGTGAGGTGTTTGGTGAGATTGTGAGACGTTGCACATGATTTCTCATCAAAAATTACTAAGTTGCTCTTCATGATTGAAACTAAATAGTCTATTGCAGGGATGTTGCAAATGCTATAAGTTCAGGCTGGTTGCCAAATGCCCAAAATGTAATCCCGTGAGGCCCTCCGCCCATCAGAACTTTGAATTCGGGTCATAAATAGTTCTGGAAAGGTCCATCATAACTCTGAACGATCGCTAAACGATCGGTCGTAAGTCAAGAATTACCTTTAAAGATAAAAAGACACTGTAACAGCATGTAACCCAGGTTGCCCTAGTTCAGGGGTAGGCAACCTTGGCTCTTTTATGACTCGTGGACTTCAACTCCCAGAATTCCTGAGCCGACTGGCTCAGGAATTCTGGGAGTTGAAGTCCACGAGTCATAAAAGAGCCAAGGTTGCCTATCCCTGCCCTAGTTAAATCAATAACCCCTCAAAGACCAGTGGAGCTTGCCTTATCTCCTGGCCCAAATGTCTGGAGGAAGAGACAGGTCTTCAGAACCTTGAGATGAACTGTCAAGTCCATTAAAGCTGAAGTACTTGCTAAAGAATACATATGCATCTTTTTACCTGCATGCAGAATTCAGATATATTAATATTTCTTAACATAGCTCTTTTCCAGTCATGAATACAACAATGAACCTCCTCCAATGTCATTTAACCCTGGCAAAAAAAATTGATCGATTCTTTCATAAACAACCAACCAACAAATTGATTTTTACACTTCGATAGGAATTTTGGAGCATTGCCCACTTCGCTGCCTGACCAGTCTCTTTGATTTGGAGCTTAGGCATTTGAAACGCAGAAGGAAGGATATTCATTTCCGCTCTTGCTTTGCTGATTATTTGTGATGAGTTGGGAGTTAAATTCTTTCCCCCCAAAAGATTGCTGCTTGCTCAGTTGAACCTGTTCGTGCTAATAAAAATATGCACTACACGAGCTGGGCTATAACAGTGCAAAATCCATGTATCACTGCGGATTTGATCTTTGTTTCATAGCTTGACTTTTTCTGGAGTTTAATTTTTGCATGAGTAGGATGATGAGAATTACCTTTTTTTCCCCCTGTTGAAATCAGGCACGACTCTGGTGGAGATGTTCTCCTTTGCTAAAGAGAACTGTAACTTTATAGATCAGGCTTATTTTGTTAGCATGCAGAAAATGTAGACCAGCCCTTTCCAGGAGATCATTCTGCTCCCTGTTCTGCTGTTTAAAATCTTAAACCTTAAAACAAATCTGTGTTATCTCAGGAAACAAACTAATTATGCTTACCTCTACCATCATCTGAAATCCTCACCATGGTTTGAAATTAGGCTCCTATAACTTTCAGACATCATGGACCTTAGCTGATTAGGAATTCATGGAGCTGAGTACTAAAACATCTAGAGCAGGGGTTCCCACGCTGGCTGAGGAATTCTTGGAACTGAAGTCCACACATCTTAAAATTGCCAAGATTGGGAACCCCTGATCTAGAGACACCAGGCTAGAGAAGGC